AAACAAACTTAGGGAATTTTGAAAGTCCACGAACAAGCTGACATATGTAAAGTACTTAAAAGAGCAACAAATAAATAATAGACATTCAATAAATGTTAGCTATAGTCCTTCCTGTTTCTGCTCTAATTACATTTCTATCAGATAAGTCTAAGATTTACTGATAGGATAAAGATGAGAAAATAATTATTTTCTCAATTAAACAGTAAATATAAATTCATAAATCCTTCCTGTCAAAATGGCAGAAGATTAGGCATGGAAATCTACCACTAAATTTGTCATATAATTTAATTAATATCTAATTGAATAAAAAATGGAGGTAGCAAAATCTTTATGATATACACTTCCCTATTACATGTTAAAAGTACTAGATTATTCAAAAGTAACTCAAAACGAAGTAATAATTATGCCTCATCTTTAGTTTTAAGACAGCAATGTTTCCTTCACTTTCAGCCCAGCAATGATTGCCAGTGGATTAATAACACTCATTGAAGATGATTCTTTAAATGGCGCTATTATGAAGATCACAACTTCTAAGGGAATTCATTTTCAAGATTACGATGCAACTCCGTTTCATGTAGAAGCTTCGTGAACACCTTGTCTATCAGCCATAACAGAAAATAAGCACAAATGACATAGTCAGACCATATCTTCATTTGAATACAGCTCTTTAAATGAAATGTTATTGTTTGAAGCTCTCTTTCATGTATTTGATGTTAATTTTTTCCTAAATGATTAGTTAAATATATAGGTAAAAAAAATTAAGAACTGTCAAAAATACAATGTGACCAAAGCTAGACTGTGATCCTTATAGTCTAAGTAATGATTAAAATGAAGGATGTTCAGAGAACATTCTGCTTTTCAGAAAATGTATTTAAACTTCTGGTTCATAAATATTAATATTTTTCAGAACATCATTTTAAAGGAGATACTTGAATTGTTATTTTAATCAAACCAGATGTAAAAAAAACTCATGTCGTTTCGATATTAACATTTTAAAAGAGGGAAGCTACCTATGGTGTTTAGTAGCAATAACCTTTCACTTGTATACCATCTTTCAGCTGAACATTTCAGCTCTTTAAAGATGTGGCATATTTTGGGACCAGTAGTTATGATGTAAATTATAGTGTGAATNACAGTGGAATACAATCTGTATCTGTTGATACATGCTGCAACATGGATGAATCTCAAAATAATTATGCTGAGTGAAAAAAGTGAGACAAAAAGAACTTGCACTGTATGATTACATTTATATAAACTTCCAGATAAGGTCGACTAATCTATTGTGACACAAAGCAGCAGATCAGTGGTAGCCTTGGGGGAGGGGAAAGGCAAAAGGAAAGGATGACAATAGATATGTTCGTTATCCTGATTGTGGTTGTGGTTTCGTGGGTGTACACATATGTCAAGACTTATCAAACCATGTACTTTACATATATGCAGTTAATTGTATGTCAATTATACCTCAAAGCTGTTGAAAAATAGAGAGGACTCTTGATTTCTGTATGTATGAAATTAATTTAGGCAGCCTTTGATCTAGTATCAGAAAGTAAAAGCAATGCAAGAGTAAACATTTTGCAGCCCAGCAGTGAAAATATCATTAGATTGTGACACCAACGTTCATAAAATCAAATGCCACTTTGAAAATGCAAACAAATTCCTTCATGATCTGGCTGCATTTCCAATTCTACCTTTAAAGGGAAGTAGGTCTTGTGCTTGCTTCGTAAACAGAACCAACATAACAGCATTTGATTTATTTCACTTCTGTGACACTTTGAACTAGCTTGGGTTCAGAAGTTCAGTAGCTCCACATATGTAACAAAAATTCATTTCAAATTCACCTTGGACAACATTTATGAACAGCCTCCTTGTGCTTTTCTGTGGCTGTGTCAGCTAGCTTATCTCTAATAAAGGTTCACTCTGTACTTTTTGCAGTCCGTGAGCACCATCCCACAACTGCTTTCGTCTCAGAAACACTTAAGGAGAGGGCAAAACAGCGACTAACTTAAAAGAACAAGACACAGCCATGTTTGGTGCACCTATTTATTCCCTTACCTCAAACTCCTAATACAACTGTGTATGTACCCTGTGCAGACCTCATGACATCTTGTTGACTGACACCACCAAACTTAATTAACTTACACGTCTGACTTACCCTAAAAACAAAACAAAAAGAGAATCATATGTTACAGTACTTTAAGATCATTGGGTGGATGCACAATGTGTGAGCTATCATTCTCAGGGATTTAAACTGCTCTTGAGCAAGCATTCTTTATAAATTGAGACCTGGCAGGCACCCAGTGAGTGGTTAAGATCTGTATTTATTGCTGAACTTTGGCACAACACCCTCAACTGACTGGTGGCGTTCTGGGACTGGTTAGCTGGGTGGGGATGAGTATGCCTCAGCAGAATAATTGAGTATTATTAGCTTGACTTTTGATATTAATAACATTAGAATCATCCGTGAGCACTGTTTCTTGACTCAGAGAAATTGCACATTTAAAAAATGTGAAAATGAGCTAATTCAAGAAACTAGTTAAAAGTTGAAATATACAAATGGCTCTCATTAAACGGCTTACCATTGAGTAGATGGAGAATTGACAATTATGAGAAATAAGCTTGATAGTAATAGTTACTACAATACAATAGGGTGTTTTTTGTTGTTTTTGTTTCTTTGGGTGAGGGGGTAGGCTAGGAGGTAGGGGAGAAAAGATGCTACACATATAACAATACTACTTTTTCTCCAGACCGTGAATTTAATCACATGTTTGAACCGTTACTATTGTGTATATGTGGAAAATTAAACAAATTCTATACAATTGCTTGAATTCTGTGGTTAAGTGCATAATTATGAAAGGAAATAAAATAGGACCACAGATTTTTATTTCTGGTTTTCTTTTCTGAGGTCATAGAGTAAGAAGATCTGGGAATTCACTATAGATCAAAACCAAAAGAAGTTAACTTTTAATTTTCTTAAACATTTACAGGCATCATTCAGTGTGATTGGTGACAGGGAAATGCACACTAATATATAATGACGACAAATGATCATCTCCAAATGCCACTTCAGTAATTTAAACTCCTTCAGCCATTTGGAAGCCTTTAAAAATGTAGATTATATATACCTTTTAAAATCATGAGTCAAAAACAAAATTCGGTTGTAACTTACTGGACCTCAAGATGATTCTCTTTGTGTTTTAGATAACACTGACTTCTCTTGCCAGAAAGTCAGGGAGACAAAAAAAACTTAACATATGACACCCTTGACTGCATCCCTCGGCTGCAACTTACCTACCATAAATTCTGGACAGTACGGCAGAGATCTTAGAAGGAATAAACTATGCTAAGACTAGTGATTTTTACAAAGTCGTCTGGTGATTATTTAGTGTATTTTCTAGATTAGTTTTAAAATTGAATAGGCACAAATTATTCCTTTGAATAGCAATCACTGGGTTTTATCTGCTTATGTTTTAATAAAATTGTTTACATTTTTTTTTTGTTTTAGGGCTCATGCCTGTTGCACAGCAGCCTGTGTATTGTGCTTCAAAGCATGGCATAATTGGATTCACACGCTCAGCAGCGGTGAGGATATAACAACCGTAATACCTCTTTTTCTCTTTCTGTATCTATATAAAACATGAGTCTTGTAAAGTCAAGGGAAATAAATTCAGAATTCAATGCATCTGGGCAAAAGATAGAAAAATAATATTATGCTTCAATCTTTATTACAAAAAATAATTTCATATCACACAAAGGACAAAATTGAGAATAGATCATTTTAAAATGAAGTAGCTATGTGGTTGAAAAAATATCCTAAGGCTAAATAATGAGAAGATAGTCTTTATTTTAAAAATTGACTCCAAATCTAAAACTTATTAACTTCAGGCTTCCTTAAATAGAATAAATATGCAGTGTGCTCCAGAAATTACCTGGAGATGCTCTACAAGTGGGTGAGAGCATGGAGGTGGGCTGGAGGGGTGGGGTGGGAATTTACTTGGTTGAGTAGTCAAGGACAATGTCTCTGTGGAAGCCAAAGGTGAAGGGCGTATAGAATTGAGAAAAATATTTTAGATCTAATTGACCACATGCATTGATAGTGTGAAATGGGCGTGCTTGCCTTTTCATAATAACTGGAAACAAAGGTAGCTTGACTGGAGCTTGACAAGCAGGAAAGCAGGACGAGGAATAACTAGAGATGTAAGCAGGACCCAGATCAAGAGGGGTTTAATGGGCCATGCTAAGGAGCGTAGATTTGACTCAAAGTACAAACATGAGTTTTTTAATGCACAGGAATGACAAGATCAGATTTCCATTTTAAGAATACCATTCTGGTTATTCACAGAATGTGTTGGAGAGGACAAGGGTAGAAGAGCAAAGGATAAACGGGAGACCTCTGCAGTGGTGAGTCTAGGTGAGACAGAGAGACCAGACAGATGAAGAGAAAAATATTAACAATCAAATAAATACTAAGGATAAAGAAGACAGATGTGTGACCAGTAAATGTTCAATCAAAAAGAAAGATAAGGAGCTCCCACAATCTTAATTTAAATTGACTGGAAATTTTTAATTTGCAAAGACTTAATCTTTAAATCAACTTTCAATGCGCCCATAAAGCTATTAAAAAGCAAAACAAATCTCNTATAATAACTCTTTTCAGTACTTTTTGTTGTCAAGAGAAATGGCGGTAGCTGGGGAATGATGTGAGGCTAAGAGATACCATTTTTAGATGAGTGATATTGAGACATGTTCCTATCTCAAAGAGAGGCATTCTCATTTGATTCGGCACTTGAAAACAGTGACCACTCTAGGCCTCTTAAAATACTTTTATTTTTAATTTCTATGACACAACACTTAGCTTATCTTCCTACCTCTGCCAGTGCCTCCTTTTCAGTCTCTTCTGCTTAGCAATCCTCCTTTACCAGAGAAGGCTGCTCTGTATAGTGGTGCAGGTTATAAATCAGGAACATTAGGGGGCACCTTTTATACAAACTACCACATGAATGGTGTCCGCAGAGTCATCCCGTGCACACTTGGCACAATTCTCTGCACTCACCCTTAGTACCAGCCTCAGAGTGCACTTCTATTTGGAAGCACAGAGAAACAACATTATATGTTGGTGTTGTGGGTTTAAAGTAAGTAATTGAAGTATGGTTAACCAATACGAAAGCTAAACCACAGTAGCAATAATAATATACTTGGGAAGGAAAAATGGGTCTTGAGATCCAATAGAAAATGTTGGATTTCTGAAAAACTTTCACCCCAGCTAAAATCACTGTTTAAAAAAAGCTTTAATAAAAAAGAGCTTTTCTCCCTCCATGTAGCCTCCCTTTTCAACGCAGCAAACTGAGGTAGAAATAGTAAGTCTTCGCATTTAGAGTCAATTGGCAAGTTGGGGACTAAGCACTGCAGATCACTAACCCACCCTGCCCGTTGATCACAATAAGAAGCAACAGTTAAAATCTACATGCACTGGAGAGAGAAAGAAAAGCTCTCTACTTAACTAAATTNCACAGAATTGTGAGATACATAGCTTTAATCCACTAATGTATGGTTTCTTTGTTATGCATCAAATACTGATGCAGGAAGGCTCTGAAAACAAAGATACTATAGAAAAATAAGTGAAAATCCTAAAACAGAAAGAAAAAATTTTAAATACAGTATGTTCAACAGCATAACAACTACCAAGTAGTTTCTGGTTTTAATGGGAAGAAAGAAGGAGAGAGACAGAGAGAGGGAGGGAGGGAGAGGGGGAGAGAGAGAGAGAGAGAGAGAAAAGAAAGGAAGGAAGGGAGGAAGAAAGGGAGGGAGGAACGGAGGGAGGGAGGGAGGGAGGAAGAGAGAGACGAAGAAAAAGAAAACAAAAAAAGCTTGATCAAATGCAAAAACAAAACAAAACAAAAACATCTCATCGATAGCATAGGAAAGCTACCCTAGGCAATCAGAATTTGAGGGACCAAGATGCTGGAGAGAAGAGAAACTCACTAAAATGGGTGTGATGTTTTTGCTACTTTTCCATTGAGGCACTGGCCAAGTTTTAAATTCACAGAGATACTGAGAAACTGAGCAGAGCATGGCTGCTAAATTGCAGAGAAATAAAATAGAATTAAAGTGTTACATGGCTGTGGGAAAAATTTGGAGTTTAGGACTACCCAAACTCCAGAATTTGAGAAGAAAAGATTATATAGAGAAAGGAAGTACAGAAAAGAAAGCCCAAAGATCTAAGCCAGCTTCACCACAGGCCATTTAACAACCCATAAGCAGCTTGGTTTGAGAACTAGGCAAACTAAGTATAAAGTGGCTGCTAAGAAATTGAAAAGCTAAGCATTGCTCATTGAAACAAAAAGAAAAAGGATGGAAAATACAAAAAAAAAAATAGCATGAGAGAAATATGGACCTTAAAACAATCTAACATAGGCATGATTAGAGTTCTAGAAAAGAAGAAAGAGAAATCAAGGTAGAAACAAAATTTGAAAGTAATTTTTAAGAATTTTCCAAAAGTAATTCAAGCTTCTGATTTAAGAAACCATACAAATGACAAGAAGAAAAGCACACCTTGCCAAATGGTAATAAAAATCACTGAAAACTATGATCAGAAAAAATCTAAAACCCAGACAGAGGGAAAGAAAGATGAAATATCCTCAAAGTAGCAAAAATAAAATTCACAACTGTCTTCTTAACAGAAACTACATAAGTCAGAATAAAATGAAATAACATTTCAAAGTTCCAAAACAAAAAAAAACTCAGATTTGTATATCTGCAGTAAAAAGGAAGAAAGAAAGAAANTATTTTCTCCTTAAGGCACATCACAGCCTTACACTTAGGAACACAAGACAGCACTTCAGCACTATGCTTGGGGGTCATTTTAAATAGCAAAATCACCACCAAAAAGCACAAAACTAAGAAAAACATGGACTCAATACTCCATGAAAAGGACACTTGTTTATAGTTAGAAAAGCTGAAACAAGGAAACAGAGAGTTGTTTTGTTTGATCTCAAAGTTGGAACATCCGTGTTGAGCAACTCAAATTTCTCACTGTTCTGTGCTTGTCCACAAATGACACCAAAAGCTCCGTAAGAATTGGATTTTGAGGGCTTACAAATAAATGTTAGCAAGTAAGAATATGGAATCCTCAATCAACTACGTTTTGCTTTACAGATAGTTCAAATAAGATCAATAGGCTGAAAATCAAGCCAAAGAATATTAGTCTGAAAATGTTCAAAGAGCCTTTCAGATAGTTGAATGTCTTTAGAATCAATCAAACCCCTAAAACTTTCCACTAACAGCATTTTTTAGCATCTCTGTTACACAAGTAAGAAAACTTGGGATATTCATTTTAAGCCTCAGCTTCTTTCGGTTCCAACAGAGTTCAATAGATAAGAGCAACTTAGATAATTAAGTAATTTCAGGAGCTGCCCAGTGATACTGATTTTAAAAAAATTAATTAGATGAGAGGCTTTCAGGAATGAATTCAGCACCTTACATGTGTATTCTTTTGCTTTCTGCTACCAGCCAACCTTAATTAACACTGCCATTGTTATAAAGCTAGAAGGATATCTGACTAGTATTTTTCACATCAGGGTCTTTTAAACAGCTTTAATTATCAGTGTGTCCTATGCTGTGCATTTATAGAACTATTAAAACTTGCAACCCTCTACTTCCAATTGGCAGATGGCTGCTAATCTTATGAAAAATGGTGTGAGAATGAATGCCATTTGCCCAGGCTTTGTTAATACGCCCATCCTTGAATCCATTGAAAAAGAAGAAAACATGGGACAATATATAGAATATAAGGACCACATAAAGGATATGATGAAATACTATGGGATTTTGGAGTAAGTAAAACTATACCTATCTTTTTTTTTTTTTCTTAAGGGGATGTAAAGTACTATCTACACATAAGCAATAAAAAGGGGAAAAAAGAAGGTTTTAAATTTGAGAAATGAATACAAGTTTCAAAGTTTTGATTTGGCAAACTCTCTGAAAGAAAATATTCTTTCTGGGTTTCTGAATAGAATGTGTTTGTACATCATGAATTTTTCTTTTC